AGTTAATAACAACTCAAGTGAGGAGTGAGTGAAAATGATTTTTGTATGCTTAAAATTTTTTCAGTGCCACAAAGCGATAAACCTTTGTTTAAAATATGATTAACAGTTGCTTATGCGCTAAGTGTGTTTTAGGCCAAGTTTTCTTGTGAATTACAATACAAACACTTCTCTGTATTCATAGTCATATTGTATTCGCTTTCCTTGTTTTTCAGTTCTCCAGCTGCTTATCATTTTTGCCATTGCAAACATAAGTTTTGCCACAACAAAACCAAAACATTTTTGTTTTAAACTCATATTCTGGTTCTTAATTACAATGTAACTAATTGTGGTCCATTAATTTAGACTGACAAGCACTTCAAATTGATATTCCGCACTCTTCAGTACCTCGCTTATATTAACCATACATACAAGCAGTGCCTGAAGCCGTATCAAAAGTATAAAATTCCAGAGTTGTTAGTAAATCTCGAGATTAAAGTCGGTAGAGAACCATCATCCAGGCTGCTGATAAAGGTAAATAAGCGTCGTTCTCAGCCGTTTCGGGTGTTCGTTTACGAAGGGCTAACGCTCCTTGAAACATCAGCCTCACAAACTCACTCGGGCCCGCGGTTAATTTACCTTGATCAGCTTCAACTTGATAAATAACTACGTTTTTTATCGCCGACGAAACCCAGCAGTTTACTTAGAAACTAATAACTTTGTTCATCACCAAACTTTGGGCTGTCCAGAAGTTGTTCGGCAACTTTTGGCAACTACTCACATTTCGCCGGAGCAACGTTTTTGCTTTCAGGTAACTTTATGATTTCTAAGCGATTTCTACCTATTTCTAGAAAGCGGAGGACTTTTTTATGTTCAAATTGATCTTAAAGCACGTTTCACAAATCACAATGCTTACAGGTATTGGAAACGTCGTCAATTTCCAAAGTTTGGGCTGGAGTTGTTTCACAGCCGTTTGGTATGCCTGTGGTTTAAGCTGCCAAGTAAACTACATAAGTCACAGGCAGCGGTTATTTAATTTCCAAAATGGCGGACGATGAAAGAGTGATTTATAGTTCATGCTCAAGTGACTCAGACGAAAGAAAAGAAAGTTCTTCAAATTCTTTGACGGAGGCAGTTGCCATGTTCCCCTATAATATATATGTTCGTTTAAGGTAAGAACAGTTATTTATCAACTCCGGTTGCAGTAAAACTACATGGAGATGCTTTAAAAACCAAATGCCATCTGCATATGTGCAACCCGAAGATTGTGGTCGTAAAACAGTTTTGGTCTGAAAATTGGTTTGGTTCTTGGTAATTTCAATAGCGTATAAACAGAATTTTATCTTTCTGGGGCCGGCTCCTTTTCACTTTCAAACAAAAAAGACAACCAGACAGATGACTAAAAATACGATATTAAGCGAGATTTTCTACTTGAGAAAGACAAACAGCCAGGTCTCAAAATAGTTTTGGTTAATGACCAAGTTAGTTTGATAATGGTTAAGATTTGAAACACGTGGTGGCATAAAAGCCCAAGCTGCTACCAACTTACCAAACGCCTGGGACAGGCTACAACCTTGGTCAAAATAAAATGAGAAATACAATCAAATCTTCCCCGCCCCCCCCCCNCGGTGTTTGGAAATGCGGTCAAACACGGTCTTTCGTGTTTGATATATTACATAAAGATCTATTATTATACTTACTATCAGCGACCAAGACGCTAAGTTGCTCTCTGAACCTGACACGCGCGGGGGGGGGGGGGGGGGAGGACGGGTGGTCTTAATTTTTTATTGAAACTGACAAAAATTGAATCTTTGTCAGAATGAAATAAGAAATAAAACCACCCCTCCTGATGAATTCGCCCTACAACCAAAATGCAACCATCATAGATCATTGGAATGGGTATGAGTATGGCTGATGTATGTTGATAGTAGATTTTTCACCGTCATGATATCTTAATTTGGCACCATATTAAATTGCTTCTGTACTCATATCAGTTTCGATTTATCTTACCACCGAGCACCACAACGTACTGTGAGAGTAACAGCACACGACCCAAGAATCCAGACAACGTTTGTATTAATCGTCAGCATATTCATTCTTGATTGTCATATCCATTAAGAACACTAAAATTAATTTTTGATTTCCAATTTCAATTTCACACAATCAACATTTCGAAAATGTTGCCTGGATGATAATGATGATGATGATGAACATGATATTAAGTCTCTAACAAGGAAGTGTCTACCAAACAAAGTTCATAAGAATACTTATGGACTTCCGGGCGTCAAAATTAAGAAGACAGCTCACAGAATTCTTCTTTAGACCAGAAAATTAGAAGCCCTCTAGCCCTCGGTCGTTTTATTCACAAGTGAAAACGTTTTCTTGAAGGACTTACAAGATAGTTCCTGAAGATAAAATGAGCTTAATTTAAATTTTAAATTCCTCTGTAATTCACTAACAGAATTTCTTCAATGCTTTCCACAAAAGCAATACTCCTAAGCCACTTGATTGACAATTCACAAGCCTTAACTTTCACGATCGTAGCACAATCGTTAGTATTTTGCTTTTCTCACTCGTCAATCTGTATTTTTTACCTTTTGTTCTACATACCCCAGCTTCTAGCCCACTGCCGAGCCATAGACTACAATTTGTCTCGTAAAAGCAAATTAATGACGAATTCTTAATAAAAGTACTATTTGACCTGAAGGAAAATCCCCCATCGCTATCGCTTCGGTCGTATGCCAGCATGACCCTTATTTATTTAGCTGTGGTTACTCGAACAGAATGTTGTTGTTTTTGCTGTCTTGCGGCAGGTGTTGTTTTACTGCTGTCGTTGTTGCCTTTTGATTGACATCAGCGTGAAGCATTTCGACTTATTGCCACTGTAAATGTCTTACGTGAACAATTATTAGGTCGCATTCGCCATTTCAACATCCCCCATAATACACCTTGTTTGCCCCCAAAATTCTGCATAACCTTTGTTTCCCATTTCTCCTGGGTATTAAAGTCGTCCCAAAAGAAACTGAAGACAATGCTTATGCAAAATTTTGGGGGTCAAGCAAGGTGTATTATGGGGATGTGGAAATGGCGAATTATCCTTTTTACTTCTCTCCACAAGGGCTAAGTACAGAGCTCCATCCCAAACGAATTATTGCAGGGAAATACACTAACTTGATCAACAAAATCCCTCTTCAGTTATCCCTACTAAAAGACATAAAATACATATTGCAAAAACTTCCGTTAATAAGGACATATTGATGGCTGACTAGACAGACTTTACATTGGAGAGAAAAAACAGCATGAAAACAAACAATGTTATATTGAGTTGCCCTGGAAACCAATGTTATTTAACATATAAATATTGAAACTTCCCCTAATTTTAGCTCAATGGTTAACGATGCCGATTACTGAAAAAAAAAAGACCTTAGCGGAACAAAACTTAGGCGAAATAAGTCTCTTGTTTGTTTAGCGTGAGCTTTATTGGCCATATGTTTCGCGACAAACGCGGCCGGTGTTAGCATCTCTTGTCTACTGTCACTGAAAAGGATGATTAAAGTTTGCTAATGAACCACAGAACAAACGACTGTTAACATTATATACTGCCGCTGTCGGCGTGAGAACAGCACACAAAACTAGATCAAAAGAGGCAAAACAGATCAGCATCATCGCACAAATTCGCCACTCCTAAACCTCCTGTTGCCATAAACCTTGCGGTGAGTCTTGTGGTGATGATCGTTTTATATTTATTTTGGAAAAGTGTCCTTAATTTATTCTTTCCTAAAGAGGGCAAGATACACATATATAAGAAACCACTGCCATTTATCTGTTTGCCGTGTTATGTTTAAGTGCAAAAAGGAAATGTCCATTATTCATTTATGCTGTTAAAATGAGATCTAGTAAAATGACAATGCGATTGTAATTCTTTGAAAATGGAGTTTGTCTCATAAATGTGCAAAAAAAAAAACCCATCAACATTTGAATTTGTCGGTAAAATGTTTCAACGAATCTTCCGCACGGGACAAATTTAGAACTTTTTTCCACTTTCTCTTTGGTTTTACTATTGCTCGGAAACAACTTTTAGCCGAGACAATTATTACAGCTTAGGATTATTTTCCCTAAAAAAAGAGTGACATTTGAATTATAAGAGGAATTAATCAAGACTACGGAGGGGTTTAGCTTTTGATCAAAATAGATGCTTTTGTTTTCAGTTGTGAGCTGATAAAACCAAAATGACTGATTCTTTACTCTAGGACTTTCATCCTTTAACAGTCCAGGCGAAAACGCTTGGTTAAAAAATTACAGAGAAAAGCAAAAATTCCTAAAATATATTAAAGATTGGCAGAAAGTAAGGGTTTTTTAAGGCCGGTCCAAAAAAAGCGTTCGTCCGTATTCAAAAACAAAACTTTCACTAAGATTTTAGAAGCAAATCTGTCTAGAGATCTTTTCATTGAAAACTGAGCAGGAAGGAATTATCTTCTCGATCGGATTTTCTCTGTTCGTGACCATGTTACCATAGTTACATATTCTTCACTTGTCAAACACAAGTCCATTTCGTGAAATTCGTTAATTACTTGTCTGGAGAGGTCATTTTTAGAGAAAATAGAAATAGTTTGTTCCTGTTCTGCGTCAAACGGACCTTGCTGTCGAGGTTGTAAAATCGACTCACATTATTGTGTACATGTAGAAAAACATTGAGATACTCACTTTTCGAGAAGAAATTGGAAACGGAAAATCAGCACTGTCGAGAGTAACTGATAATACCCACAGTGTGCCATCGCACGCAGCGTGCTACACAACACTGCTAACCAATGACAAAACAGCTCATCATTGCTTTTAAGAAGTTTATAGTGATTTAAGGAGTTTTGGTTTTCTGAAATTGCAGACATTAACAACAATAGGGCTGTTCTGATTGGAGTGTCTGACTTTATTTAGTTTGTGAATATCGTATGGAGGTTTTTTCGCTTTTAAATGTCAACAAAGTGTATTAGTGTTTTCATCAATTATCGGATGCTTTTACGTTGCAGCTGCCTCTGGATATCAAGCAAGTAGCGAACAAGGAGGAAGATTGAAGAAATATCTGCTTTCGCTTCTCTTCGGTAGGTGGTTTTGTAATTTTGCCCTACTCACTTGTATTGGTTTTGCCTGGTGTAAAAAAAAAAACATTGCTGCACCAGCTGTGCACGTTTCTACCTTTAAACAATGTTTACAGAAAACAACAATGACGGTGTGCGCGCATAAAACTTGAGAATTTTCAATTATCATGACTTGTTATGTTTTCAGCACCATTTCCACCAGCCAAGATAAGATTTTAAGTTTGTGGCTAATTCTTCGCCAATTGTTGCCTTTAATGAATTTTCCATTTCACTTGTAAACTAAAGTTGGATTTAATCAAGGGCAACAGAAAGGGCTTGTGAAACTGTTGCAATTACCTGAGCTTTGACCGTGCTATTCTGAATAGACACTGTTCAAAATTTCCTTCCTACTGAAGGGATCGTAGAATGAGAATTTTTTCACATTACTATTCAAAATGAGATTCTAAAGGCCTATGGAAATATCTTAGTAAATCACACCGTGCGAAAATAAATGAAAAGTAAATATGTGAAAACCACAATACTACGCGAGACATAATAATAAGTAAACAATATTGCACTTTATGATTTCAGAGCCTTGTTTGGCACGTTTTCTCTAGAAAAAACGTAAATGTGGCTCCTTATTTGTCGTCACTTGTGTTATAATGAAAAAAAAGATTTACCCAATACACAGTTTTGGCATAAAATGACAAGTTTAATCTCAAGCAAATTTTTATGTCTAGTAGCATAAGATACAAACGTAAACAAAGAAGTGACACAAAGATTTTACATTTGCTGAACCAATTTAAACATTTGCCACTCTGAATTATGGTCCAATTAACACAACGTGGTCATGCTTATCTTTTAAAAAAAATGGTGTTTGTACTCATGTGTAAATATACATACACCCTTTTTCTAATTAACAGGATCGTTTTTATTTAACAAGTATTATTACTTTATTAATATTTTATCAACCTATCATTTTGTGAAGTGAAATTTAATTAATTAATCGGTCTAAATTTTGATGGGCTCATGTTTCTCCCATATACATTCAAAAAACGTCCACCATAAGAATCGTGTATGCAGAAAAACAATTCTCCTTTACTACAGAACAGAAATCAGTTTAGAAGACAGTAGCTGCAACACAGCTGTCTCCTTGGTCAGCGGTTAGGAGACGGAACTTATTTTATTTTTTTGGCCGCTGTTCAATAAACACAAAGGTTATGCAAATACCAGTGTCATAGATAGAAGATCTACTATTAACCTTACAACTTCTTATCTTACAAGTTCTTATCTTCCTGCGACTTACATCATCGAACGTTTGCTCATTTCACACCGTTATGGAGGTGACCTGCATCAGCGACTTGCAGCAACGGAGCAGTACTGAAAGCACGCGTCGCAATCGACAGCACGGAAAATTTGTGGTCCACATGTTCATTATTCTGAATCTTCAAGTCTTCCTAGTGGTTAAAAAAAGTAAATTTGCCTCCGGAGATAAAGCTGTTGGGTATAATTAATCAAAATTGTGCTTTACGAAGTATTGATGAATAATTCATCAAAATTAAACTGAAAGTTACGCTAGCTTCACGCAAACTTACCCGTTTAATAAAAACACTATTAGTTACAGTCAGTAGATAATGTTGTGCTCCAAACTCGTGGTTCTTATTTAACTTGGTTTGGAAAGAAAAGTGACATTTTCGTATCAACATCACACTTTCTCAATGAACTTCATTCGCCGCTTCTTTTGCCCCGAGCAATCCTAGTTTATTTCATTATTCAAAATCCTTTGTTTTTTAGTTTAAGCAGTGTTGCTAAATGATTACGTGAGAAGTATCTCTTTAGAAAACCCGAAATAAGAACACCTAGGACAAATGAATGAGTGAATGAATAAAAACATTGATTGAAGTTGACCGATCTTTCAAAACCACCTGGAAAATTTGGCAAGATAATAATCCCTTCCCAACCAATTCGCATGAGAATATTAAGTGCAAGAAAATGAAACAGCGCACATTGTACATGAATCAGCTGTTAAGCATTCGAGAAACTGAATATGTTCACCTTTATTAAATAAAGGTGCTATTGGCACACCAGGACCCAATATCTTAATGCCTTTTTGTGTACTTGAGAGTAGTAATTTCAAGGGTCAAAATCTATGAAAACTTATTTCGCGAACGTAGATTTAACAAAGGCGTCCGTTTAGCCACCTTAGTTGAAATCTTTTGTGCATCGTTTATCGCACATTAGGAAGCTTTGTTCGCGCGTAAATTACCCGTGGATGCAGTTTGGCACAATCATGCAAATTTAGAGCGAATCTATGTTGCAATGTTGTTAAGTTACCGGTTTCATTAGTTTCACATCGATGCGCTCTTTTTCACCAGTGAACCGACATGCTCTCTAGATTTCAGACTTGCGCCATTTGAGCTTTGCGGAATTGCGCGCATTTCCTCAAATTTCGAGATTCGACGAGTATATTTGGAGCAATATTCTAACAAAGAAGAACAGTTCCGTATCCTAGAAAAGTTATAAGCTTTAAAAACACAAAGATATTGTTTGTTTATCGCCTCGGATTTACATTTGTTAACATTTGGACTGTATCTTGTTGCGTTCAATCAGGAATGGATACAATGGTGAACCTTACAAACGCGACGTCAAGTGTATTGACAGAAGCTGGGCCATCATCCACCAGCAACATAAACCCGGGACCAACAAATATCGTGGCAGCTTTGTTCGTCGCACTGCAGATTGTAGTTGCTCTTGGCGGAAATTTCATCGTCATTGCAAGCTTTTACACATTCAGAGATCTTCGCACAAAATGCAACTTCTTCATTATCTCTCTAGCAATCAGCGATATTCTGGTGGCCTTGATCGCCATGCCGTTCTGGTTAACCCTCCAGCTGACCCAGAATAAATGGATTTACGACACGAGACTCAAACAATTTTGGGATTGTATGGATATTCTGTGTGGAACTGCGTCCATCATGAACCTGACGGCGGTGAGTTTTGACCGCCAGTTGGCGATCACGTCGCCGTTCACATATGTTAAAATCCTGACAACTCGGCGCGCTATTTGTATCATATGCTTCGTATGGTGCTACGCTGCAGCCATTTCATCCTCGGTGCTAATCCAAAGCCCTAGACACAACTGGCCATATCCCAGTTATCTATGGTTCGTATCCATTGCGAGTTTCTTTCTACCTTTAGTTATAATGCTGGTTATGTACGCTCGGATTTACCTTGTGGCACGGTACCAGGCTAGGCGCATCGGAAGAAACTACGCAACAGATATTAAAGCCGCAAAGACAATAGCAGTTGTGATCGGAGGATTTGTAATCTGTTGGCTCCCGTTCTTCATAGTCGTTCTGTCGTTCGCAAATCGAGTGAACTTTGGGCTCACTTTTCTTAACGTAGCCAAGTGGCTAGAATACTTAAACAGCTGTCTGAACCCTGTTATTTACACTTGTTTAAACCGAACTTACAGAAACGCGTTTAAAAAACTGTTTCGCCGCTGCCGCTCAAAAATCAAAAGAGATCACAGAGAACACTCAAGCGGCAATACCTTGCTGACAATGGGCGAGACAAAAGCGCCGATGACACCTGAGGAACGCGAAAGCTTATATACTCAAAACGGGCCTAAAAGCCCAAACCTTGAGGGCCACGAGGACCTAAATGAAAACATTCCACTCAAAGAAAACCTCACCGATTCAAAAGTGCTGACAAACTGTAATAAATAAAACAATGTACTAGACCCATTCAGCCCCTAGAAACTCTGCATTTTTAAAGTATCATGTACAAGACTATGATCCGAGTAACATCCATCAGTTAAAAGGAAACTTAAGCGACGTCAAGACTCTAAGAGACAAATAATGAAAACAAAACAGAAATAAGGAAAGTATGAAAGTGTGCTTCAAATAACAAATATTACAACACCTTATCCAGAAACGGTTGAAAACAAAAAGAATTCAGCATAGTTCGGTCGAGAGCTTTGAACAAATTTATTAAAGAGTCATGACCTTTTGACGGCGGAGAATAATAAAGATGTCGGAAAAAGTCAGTCAAATATTTTGAACTATAAAGTAATGTTTATCGTTCGATATTCGTAAATACCTCCAGGGTAAACAAAGTTAAGTGTAAACTCAAAGTATTTGTAGAATTTTTAAGACATGCCTAAATTTCAGAAACATGTGTATCATTAAAGAGTTAGTATGACTGGTTTGAAATGCTTGGTGGAGAAAGCCGGCTGCATGGAACAGAAAGATTGAACTATAAATAGGACAAAAATATGACAGATCATCCAAATTAAAACTTAATCTACAAACAAATTGAAGTTCATGTGTAACTTAGACGTGTTCAAATTAGCAAAGACGTATAAGGGAAAAGAAAGACGTGTTCAATTGCACATACTGATATAATTTACAGCTTAAAAACCCTAAAACGGAATGAAAGCAAGTTCGGTTGATACACTTTCTTATCTCATAAGTTGACTGAATTCAATTTTGTTTTGTTCCTCTATCATTATGGGCACATTAAAACGCAGTTGTATTTGTTTACCCAAGTTCTCAGCCAAATTGAATTGCATAGCATTCAAAAGATCTCACAGAAACTACACTAAAACAGTTAATGCAATGTTAAATGAACGATCACAAGGTCGTACTGGAATAAGCGGATTTTTAAACTAGGTGACATTTTCGACCCTGATGAAAAAGATTCGATAAACAGTTCAGTAAGTGGTGAGTTAGCAGGGATGAATAGAAATTTCTCGAGTGATTTCAACTGTTGATAATAGTGGCCAAGTTTACTGGCAGATTTATCACTTCATAACTTCATAACTTAATTCGCCAAAACAGGCAAGGTAAATACCAGAAAAAGGACCCTGTGATCAACTATTACAACAGATTTTTTAGATCGTCCATGAAAATTCAAGATAACAAGCAAAACTACAGAGCTATTTAGCACGGACGTGTGGAATGTTCAAATTGTACTCAAATATAAGCAAGCACAGCCTCTACTTTCACTGACTGAACAAGAAAGGAGAATTAAAACATGAGACAGCCGTTTCTTCCTAGAGGATCACACGTTACTTGTTCTAATCAGTTGACCTCGACACCTTGTCAAACTGTGATTAATAACTTCATATATTTCCCCGTCATAACCAGAGCGTTTGTTTATATGTATATCTTCCGTTCAGTTCATAGCCTGTGGCACTCAGCAGGGTTTGACGCGCTTCGCTGCTTGCTTTGTGGCATGCCGAAACCCATAAATGGCAATGACGGATGGAGGGCGCGAGGGCAACATAGAAATACGCCTACCCAAGCTGACGGGGAATGTTGGCTACGTTCCTGTTGCCTCAAACAGAGCTTGCCTGTTTACGAGTCATAAAAAAAAGATAACACCATCATTGCATGTTTTACATATTTGTCTCTTTGGACAATATGGGTCACGAAAGCAGAGAACTAGAAATTATCAGAAAGTCAATGTATTGGTGCAGCGCAATCAAAGACATATTAAGATTTGAAAATGATCAGCAAAAATAATATTTTGGTATCAAATAAGGTAAGGTACCCGTAAACAGGCTTCTTACTTTGGCCGCAAAGAGCGACAAAAAAAAACAAAAAAACTTCGGCATGCACGAGGAGCTAGCCGAGCGCGGACTGGGGAGAAGGTTCTCGAAGCGAGATCTTTCTCCCCAGACCGCACTCAGGTCGTTAGCCTCGCCGAATGTTTCTTCAGTGCTCCGACACGGGGCCTGTATATCGGTCTGATTCACGAAGAAAAATAACACTATTGAAATGGTAAGCTATGCACCTTATGCTAAAAACCACAAGGAACAGTCACATCATGCCAGGCAAACACCATTGATTTTAGCGTCTTCATATTTGAAATTTGAGAGAAAATAGAGAACTTCACTAAATTAAGTGGAATAAGTTTCTTTAAATCAGATCGTCCATCTTAGTCACATATGACAACGTTAAGAGGAACGTTCAGAACAAAAGTAATTCCTCAACATTTTTTTGTACAAAATAAGTACGAGTCGACATACCCAGGAAATCTGTAACCACTACAGCTTCATAGTGCATTGTCACTCTCTACTCGTCATCGAATGTTTACTTTCTCAGTGTTCCTTTACAATACACGACAGTTTATTTGTTCACTTGTTACTTTGTGCCGGCATTTCATAGCCGAGAGGATCCAGATTATTTCCCAGCAATGCTAACGATGTTTCCCTGAATAGCGATAGCATCTTCTGTAGCTCGTCTTTCCTGAATACCTGGCAAAAAAATAAATGTATAATTGAGCCCAATAGCACATACATGGATGAAAAGGTTAAAGAGAGCATGAAGAGATACAGATCTTATACCTAACGTAATCCCTCTCAAGCTATATTAAGACATGGTACCCAGTTCATCCGCGGACACTGTTATCACCCACGTTGCGTGGATGTTTTCGCGGGGGATGAAAATGCGTGTAAAGCCAATCGAACTGTCCACATGAGAAAACTTTGGGTCATACGAATGGTTATTTCTGGACCCTGCTGGGATTTTCGAACCCTGGAGTGACTAAAAATAGCTTGAGAGGGATTACCTTGAGAATAATGTCTATATATGGGTGATAAACCCACTTACCCAACATCACATAAGCTGTAAATAAAACTCAGACTGCATTTAAGATGTTACGTCATCATCCTCACTGATACTATTTTTCGGAGTAATGACCGACTGAGCCCGCGATCTTATTAACATTATAACGCGAGGAGACAGCTTTGGTATGTTCGTAAATACTCGCACAATTTTCTGATAGGTCAACAACCAGAAACCATTCTGGAGTTTTTATGAGGGTCACAGGAGGGATGATCTTACCTCATAAAGCTGGTATTGTTCTGAGGTAATAACATCAGCGAGTTGCAAACACTGCAACAGAAATCACAGTCAAAAGTTATCTCAAAAACCCTCACACAACTCAGAGTACTGGACTGTAAAAAACACTAATCTCCTTTATCGGAGCTAACCGTCCTTTTCAGCTTGCAGCTCAAGTATCTCTAAGAAAAAATAAACCAAGAGCGAGTATTTAACACGCAGGATTTGTCGCTAACCTGTTTGTACTGTCGTGTTGAGTGAAGCACGTTATGAAGCAGGTAACAGACGAGTGGAATGCAAAGCTGTCTTAGCAACTCTAGTTGATGAGTGCGGTTTGAATCTTCCTCGTCGTCCTAAAACCAAACAAAATAGGCACCTTTAGTTCAGAACGATTTTTGAATTTCAAACCAGTGAAGTTTCCAGAACCCTCGCTCTTCATGTTGGTTTTAGGTAGAGAGGGTAGTTCATGGCATGAGATGGGTATGTGACGTGATAATGTAGAGCCTTCAAAGTAGAATTGAAAAGTCGTACTCGTACACAAGTCTGATCTCCACTAATGCTAATTCTTTCAATCATTAGGTCGACATCAGATCATTAGTTCTCTTAAAAATGAAAGGAGAATTGCCTTGTTCGTCATTGCAATCAACCCGGGATTAACATATAAACCGAGACAGTTTATCTCAGTATACCCAAAATACTACGAAAGTTCAGATTTGGTGAAAATCAGAAATGAAAAAAATGAAGCAAGCGTTATCAGTCAAACCCCATAGTGCGAACATAAACAGCATACTCTTACCGCTCTGTGATCTACCATCCAGCCTCCATCAGGGAATAGAAGAACGTTGTAAATTTTTTCCACTGTGGCCTAAACAGCAAATAAAATACGTTACATATTTCAAAATGAGTAAATCGACAAACAATATAAACATCATGTCCAACTCTTTTACCTTTGTATGAATGTCAAGTGAGTTCTTCCATCTTCCAAATTCCACCTGCAGTATGCAATGATCAGTCAAAAAATCAACCAGTCAGTTACATTTGTACGGCAAGCACAGTGATCAGTAATCCCACCCTTCAAAAACGCCACCAACATCTGGACGCATTGTATTAAAGGGTGAACGTTACCTCGTACTGTTTAAGCTGCTGCTCGTATGCCACCTTCTCCGTGAAATTAGCGTGACCTTCGTGGCGTGGCTTTGGCTACGACAGAAAAGAATAAGAATAGTAGTAGCCCTGTCTAAAGGCTGCAGGAACAAATGCACCAGCAGACATCAAAAGTAACAGGTTTGACTTACTGGGACGCTGTGATGAAAATGCTGAAACCAATCATTAAATGCATCCAGTGCCTCCTGCATAATAAATTGGTAACGAAAACAGTAAATAAAACCATCATCGATAACAATTATCTGTTACGACTAGCACATAATGAGTAACACATTGGAACCAGAAACCCCAATCTGATCCTTTAAACCGATCAATGTAATACACTTACCAAAAGCATGAAAATCTATTGGTAAGATTACAGAGGATGGCAGAATTGACTTACCAAGTAAGCTTTGATGCACAGATATTCACGTATGGCATTGTCATCACCAGCAGGTAACGCGCTAGTTCCACCCTGTCAAATGTTCACAAACAACAAACCTAAGAAACACTAAGCTCACTGGGTCAGGAACGTTCCACCTTAAGCTTGCGTTTTCCAATGGCTGCAAGCCAGCAACTTTGTAGAGAGGTCTGGGGAGATACACATCTGATTATCTATAACATATGCGCTGAGTAGAAATCAGGTACATTTTTCAAACATGATACGGAGGTATTGTGGTGAGATTGTTTCAATGGTTGACCTGGATGATATATTTTTAAATGTTAACTGTAATCTCAACTTTCATTTGTAAATGTAGGGGTGAAGGGAAGGGGGGGTGGGGGGGAAGAGGGCAACCCTCTACGTCTCAGTCCCTAAGGTGGAGCCAGTCTCTCAGGTGGAACCCTGCACCCTGTTAAACGAGAATTAGAACAATTTTTCACTTAATGAAAATCAAGACAAAATTGTGCGTGTGATTGACAGACCTAATTCCCTACTGAGAAGAAACCACTGGAAGAGCTAATTAAAAAATTAACGATAACGATCCCAAAGTAAAAGCAGAGAAAGCAGAGTACTGACCCTAACTTGCCACTCTTTATGAATCACGTGAATGGAGTCAGCTGGAACCCTCTGAAAAACTTCACGTGCTGCGGCGTGCTTTCTCGTGGCTATTCAAATAAATGAATAGCACGAACATCAATAGACAATTCAAAGATTAAAGATTTCACCAAAGATACCACAACCTTGTCAATTTAGCTTAACTAAACCTTGATTAAAAGGAACTTCGAGATAGAAAACTATCTCTCAGGGTAATAATACGAAGTCACAAATGCAGGGCAAATTTACTCTCAGTGATCGAAGCCAATGTTAATAAAGTTCTTCCAACTTGTGCAATGTACAATAAGTTATGTATGGTGACGTCAGAGGGTTTCAACTCACCAATAAAGCAGCGCATGATGGCGTTACTTTGTTTCAAAGCTTCACTTCGCTGGGATGGATCAAACACCAGCCATTCAATGGCTTCTATCTTTTTGCGGTCCTCCTACAGAAGAAAAAGTGTCGTACATGTGGGACAGGTTCCCTTTCGTACTGTTAAAACCTTACAAGTCAGCTTGTCATCTCATCCACTATGATGCTAAGCAATAGCCGCGAACTAAGTCATTCCTTTTGACCTCTGGAGAGAGGAAACTCTCTCGATTGATAAAAACAATCAATGGCCGCGGGGTATAAAAACTACATCATATGAATTCGCGGCAATACACGGACCGTAAAATAAAAGATAAAACTAACATCTACGTCAGCACTAAAATGTAAACTTATGTTCACTTGTGAGTAAACTTGTGAGTTTGTTTGACTACACAGAGTAGGCATGTACAGCTACAGAAAATGGCCACACTTTGCGACAGATGGCCAGTTCCATATCCTCTGGGACTGCTCGAGAAAAAGCTGTCCAGATCCTAATACTACGACTTCAGCCATTTGTTTAACCAGCACAATGTCGAAAATATCCTGTCCAGAAGACACGACAATATTTGAAACAACACACTAAAGAATCAAAGACATCTGCACTGACTCACATTTGAAGTAGCAGCCTCCAGAGCAGGTGATGTGTCTCTGTCTACCTTAAAATCATCCTAAAGTGAATGACAAAACAAATGCTCTAGCAAATGGAATTGCAATTTACAATGCTCACATCTGCAAAGATTTGTACATTTGTGCGAAACAGTTCGACAAATATCTGAAGTGTGGAATAGCGCACAGACCTAAAACTTGGAAAAAATTTCTTCTTTATTTATCTTCTATGGGATCACTTCATCCACCTAATGATTTTGATTTGTTTTTATTTCGTGACAGTGAAAACGACCTACTGACTTTCAACACCAGTTTTACAAAAATCAAGAGTTCGGAAATCGAGCGTTCAATTGAGTTCCATTAACCAATTTTTTCTGTGCGAGTTCGATATCGTTGGATAGCCGAACTTTATCGAACTCAATCCACGGACTGGGTTCGATTAGTTCGTTTGAAATTCAGTTTAATTGGGTTCGATTGACTATGTCGGGATCATTGCGGGGTTTTTTTTAGGGAGGGGGACGAGGAAAGGCATCTTTCTGGGCGAGTGTAAATATCACGGGGCGTGTGCATTTTGAGTCACCCTCTCGAATGGCGAGTGTTGTTAGAATTTAGTTTCAACACAGTAATAACAAGAATTTTCGTATTTCATTATAAATACAGTAGAACCTCGGTAACTCGAACTCTGAAGAGAAACGAAAAACAGATCGAGTTAGCGGGGCTTCGAGTTATCGGGGTCGATGGTACATCCAACTTGCCATGTTGATAATTGATAGTCTGCTGATTTTTCAGCACTTCAGTATACAGTGACAGCTAAAGGCACCGCATCCAGTAAGATTGGGAAATGACTGTCAAATATGTGAACGGTCGGTTGCGCTAATTAAAATGAAATTGTTGTGGTGTTAGTTTTGAGTGTTTTTACCGATTACATGAACCAGAATTCGAGTTATCGGGGTAAATTTTTATCAAGGGTAACGAAACTTAGTTCGAGTAAGCGGGGAATTCGAGTTATCCGAGTTCGAGTTACCGGGGTTCTACTGTAATTCATCAGTTCTCAGTGGCAATTAAATAAGTATATAATTAAATTTATTTGTCACAATTTTTGTCAGGTTTTGGTGTTTGAGAACACGGTGGTTTCTGTGAAATGATGGTCTAAACCTCAAATCATTCACTAGCAAAATTGCCGTACCCAAATTCGCTATTAGCCAATCAGAAGCTGTGTCTACTGTCCTGATATCTTGCGATATCAAGCGATTAGTCACTTTATTAAATCCATTTTGAAATCACTGGTTATCCTTGCAATCTGATTGGCTCTCAGTGGTGCGATTTATTCACGAATCGCATTATTTTTTGCTCTAAATCGCAACTTTTTCTCAGCCAATGAGAATGGGACAGTAAAACAAAACAACCAATCAGATTTCAAGATTGGTTTAAAGNTTCTTTCCAATTGCTTAAATTGGAAAATTAACTGCGATGATCATTCTTCACTCTCATTGCTCCTGATTCTTGCTGTTTCTGATGTTGGTGTTGGTTTATTGGTCCAGCCGGTTTGCACGTCACTTCTGATCAAGTCGTTACATGAAAACAATCCTGGTTGTAACACCTATAAGGCTTTTTACTTTATTGCACATTTATTTTCCTCAGCTTCGTTCCTTGGTGTTGTGGCTGTGTAGACAGGTTATTAGCGATTCATCTTCATCTCAAATATCAGGAACGTGTGATTTACAAGCGTGTTGTTGCTGTGGTGATCTCAATATGGGTGTTGAGTATCTTTGCTTCTTTTTCAATGTTGTGGGTTCCACTCGATCATCAGGATTTAGCTGTAAGACGACACAAAAATCAGATTCAGGCTCTACAAGTACAACAACAGGCACAGGCTGGCGAAATATCTAATTTTGCCAGTCTAATTAATTCTGCAGTCGGAAACTTTCACGTATATTTGATGTTTTTGATTTGTTGTGTCTTATTTCATCAGTTTGGCCGTCTTTAAAATTAACGGGCCGAATGTCACTCTGAAAAATTCTTTCCTTTTTCACTAACTCTGTTATATCTTAATTCGTCTCTGAACCCTGTAATTTACTGCTGGAAAATGAGACGCATTCGACACGCTGTCATGAACATATTGAGGAACATGTCTTGGCACAGAAGTCGCGCATCACTCGAAACACCTGCATTAGCAGGTCATATGTGTAATGAAGTACTTCAAAGAACTGGTTTAATTATGCTATTTATTAAATCCATTTTGAAATCACTGATTATCCTTGCAATCTGATTGGCTGTCAGTAGTGCGATTTATTCACGAATCGCACTATTTCTTGCTCTAAATCGCATCTTTTTCTCAGCCAATGAGAATGGGACAGTAAAACAAAACAACCAATCAGATTTCAAGATTGGTTTAAAGTAATCAATAAAATTTCAGGAAAATGAAAGGCAAAAAGCCATTGTGTGGAGAATTTTGCAACTACTACTGCCACAACTTTGTTTTTATTGTAGTTTTCTTCCAAAAAAAATTGACGAATTCAATTAATTACAGTTTCTGAATGACGATTATGAGCTCCTTCAGGCTGAATACCTACTTTAATGGAAGTTTCCAACTTTCAGTGTCATTTTGACCCATATTTTGGTGATTTTTCTTCAACATCTGCTCAAGATCCGTATGATACCGAGTCCAGTAAAACATAAACAAACGAAAACCACACCACAAATTCAGAGCCATCCCAAGAAGGTAGATGCTTCCAGGTTTCTGGTAGTTTAAAACGAAGCAACAAAAGAGCTCAACTCTGTCGCTGTGAATAATAGTCCTCATTAAGCCACACTGCACAAAATAGTGAATGAACGAACGTCTTACGAAGCCGGTGCCAGTCCCACTATCTTGGAAACATCTNATGGATCTAATAAAGTGGCAATTGAACTTCGGATCGTGCAGTTTTGGTCTGAAATCATACTTGTGATTTGAAATCACGCGTATGATTTCAGACCAAATTGCACTCCACTCGGTTCAATTACCATTATGAACTGATATGACTACGATATCATGACCACTGGGCCGAATTTGGAGGCGATACTTATCGTACCCTTTCTAGTATGCTTCGGCGGCATTTCGTTTGGTCTAGCCAAAATACGAACCTTGGCTCGACCAAACTCGCCTGATATGCCGCCGAAGCGTACAAAAAAGGTACAATTAGGTATAAATAGAGTCCGGCAAACTAATAAATATATGATCAACACTTGATGTGCAGTGTCTGTACTATGTAAGGCTGGTACCATATTCCATATGATTCCTTATGGTTGCGATCATTTGGAAACAACTCTTCAGCGATCGTTATTATCCTGTGGAAACCATCCTCCGTGGATTGTAGCAGTGGTTGCAATGAAAAAAAAAAAAAATGCCAGAATGCAGTACGTCGTTGTTTGATCCAGATCACCTCGGGCATTTTTTTTTTTATTCCGTATTGATCGTGGCGATCATATGGAAATTAAACTGGTAGTCGCTCAATTTTTTTTCGCAGCGATTACATAAAAGCGACAAATTTAGAGATGTCTCTCTATACTCTCTCCTCTACAGGTAATAAAGTAGATTCCTGACTGAACCTGACGTAAATGATCTGACATTTTTTACCTTTCCTCTGATACTCTCCACGACTGTCTTGGTTATCAATGGAACATCAAGACCTGTACAAAAACAGCAACAACCACTTATATAGTCATCATATTATGCATTCAATCTACCCTCGGTTAGTTATTGATGTACTACAGAACTCTCTTGGCTAATAGTTACTACCAATTAATGGCTAATATGTAAAAGAAAGAAAAAGGATGACAAAACAAGCCATAAGGATGGTCCTTAGAAAGGTTAGAGCCCCATACAGGAAACACCTCCTGTACTAAATATGACATCTATTGAGTACATACATCACGAAAGTCACAATGTCCTTAGAAAATCTCCATATTAAAAAGGAAACTATTAAATATATAAAAACATGTATACGTCATCTAAGTCACAAGTTCTTTAGAAAATCTCTACATTTGAAATAACTTCATTTCAATTTAGTCGTTCTAATTGAGTCTTCTTTAAGGAGTGGTCATCATTACATCTAAAATTTTAACGGCCAGTCTCGGCCGAGTAGAAATTCATATACGGAGCTTTGCGTAAGATTGAAACATAAAAAAAGCATCTGTTTTCAAGCGAAGGTATATTTATGTTTCTTGACGCGTAAAGAAACCAAACGACTGATCCGTACTTCAGCTTTGACTTAACCAGAGCGCAATAAATGCCTTCAAAAAAGAGAAAAAACTCAAGCCATTTTTTGGCGGAAAAAACACGTTGATAATTTGCTGTAACCAATTCAAACGACAAGCGCCTTAAATAATTTGTACCTACAGCACGGTTACCCAGTAACTCTTGACAGTGGCATCGAAGAGAAAGGCTTTCGCTATAAATTTTTAATACTATGAACACATACAGTCATACAGTCATGTTCATACATCAAGAAGAACATATTCAACCTTCGCTGTTCCTGGTGAAACATAGATCCAACAATGAAAACATACATAGTAAGGTTAATACACATACCAGCGCTGCTCGCTAACTCCAGACATTTCTGCCTCTGTTTCATGTCAACTATATCTAAAAGACAATATTTTAATACGTTTGGTTCGTTGAGTCGTGTGCTCGTATGATGATTAGAAAAATATAATTCAATATTCAAGGTAACGTTTTTTTTTAAAAAAAAATCAGTTTTCAAAAACCAAACAACAATTACCTTCCAAAAAATATGCATAGGTTTCTGTTTGGATTTCTGGAGGAAGAGTAGCGGTGTACGTCGCCACAAGGTCAGTTTGTTTCTCGTCAATCAAAGCCTAAAAGACAACATTAACAAACTTTCACTGAACGACGCAAGCTCTGGTGGACAGTATGCTGTGATTTTGTACAGAAACATTTTCCTTGCATTGTTTTGCAAAAGGATATAGGTATTATGCAAACACTTGTAAAGGTTTGGGAGAACCAGCAACAGTCGTTAGCGCAGCATTCATTCCAATCCTGCTTCTGTAAACTACGCAATAATCAAGGAAGCTCACAAGCCCTGTGAGCAAAAACAATGTACATTTACCAGGCTAAGAATGAACCTTTATCTTCGATAAATCGAAAGGACATGTATGAATTCATTTGGTTTGAAAAATGTACACTAAACTGCTAAGGGAAAACAACAATGGACTAGCTTATACATCAGGCTGGACGTAGAGTGGAGTAGGTTTTACGTGAAGGGTGAGCAAAATATCCAGTTAAGGACACCAAGTAGAAGAAGTACGTACCTGGACATAAGCTTTTAAGATGGAAACGCACTGCTCCAGATCAGTCTGTTGCAAAACAGCAAAATAAATGAAAAAAACACAAGCAACGTAACTACTGATGAAACACAGTTATTACGTGAAAACACCTACCTCTGATTCAATTCCAGCTGATCTCAGAAACAAAACTAGATGAGCCTAAAATAGAACAAAGAATAAAAAACTTTAGCTCGGTGTATGCAGTGTAAAAGTTTGATCAACTAATTAATCAACTTACCATGAAACGTAATATCTGAGTACGTGGTTTATCTTCCTTTTCCAGCCAGCTGTGCATATTTTCTATCAAACCTGAATCATACAAAACAAAAAGCATATCATGTGACCATTACGTGCAAAAGACAAACACTCCACTACAGTAGCACGTAGACGATAATGTGGTGAAACATTACCCTACAAGGAGTTACAAGTTATAAAAGCGTACTCACCATTTGTATCGTTAAGTATGATATGCTTCTGCATGACATGATGGAATTCCTTTGCTTGATGTCTGATGGACTAATGAAAACAGGCGCAACGAAAACCGTCAAACATATCTTCACCAAGGTCTTATTGCACAAACAATTGTGAACAAATAAATCAGGCATACCTCTTTTGGACAAGCCTGAAGTTCTTCGAATATTTTCTCTGGATTCAACCTAATTTATTGACACAAGAAATACGATGTAAACAAAGTTGCAATGTTAGTATTGTAACCAGCAGTGGAGAGTGATGAACTCATACAAACACACAAGACTATTATACTTACGTCTGATCCCAGAAAAGAGACGGTAAATTCTCCATTTCTCTGTCAGGCCTAGGATGGAGGCGTATTTCCTACAATAAACACAAACACATTTGACTTTGGTTCCTTCGCAACTGACACAGTGCAGAGCATAAGGGTAAGTTGGTAAATACACATTCGTTTTTAGCACAGTACAGAGTATTCCGTGTGGTTCATACAATTGTTAGACTTCACGTTCCACATGAACTGATCAGGTACAGTGTGAAGTGTGGTAACATTGTTATTACAGGTGACAATGGCAACTGGATTAAAACATCCATTTAATCCATGTGACAGACCCCTTATACGGCTCAGTGATGACCAAGAGTTTTGTTCTTTTCCAATAGATCTGAAAAGCCTTTACTTCCAAAACAGAGAACATTTACGAAGCAAAAAATTCTACGAAAAAGTCGAAATTTACCTGCTCCACCCTGACGTCAACCATAACTCTATAAAATGCCCACAAGTGATCTTCCCATGATGTACACACTTGAAGAATCTGGAAATAAAATAGAACGTGAATCCCTCAATTTGTCACCAAGTGTCTTACATAACATGCAACCAAACCCAGTGAATGTCATCACAGAGTTTTCAGACATGTAGTATCTGGCCTGGTTCACAACCTCGATGCTATGATAATCTTGTTAACATGTTTTTGATTCAGCAATGAAAAAGTTAATCATACGAGAGACACAAACTGGCTGAAATAAAACAGACGGACTGATTGTAGTACTATTTAACGCATGCTGTGATCAGTTTAAATTGTTATTTATTCAGTTGAAATTTAGACTACGAGTAGTCCCTCTTTCGCTTAGTCCGTCGTGCGTGATGCAAAAGAAAACCGCGAGACAAAAATGGCCGCGCGAAATCCTGGAGGCGAGGAGCGCACTCCTCGCCCTCAGGATTTCGCGCGGTCATTTTTTCTCGCGGTTTTCTTTCGCGTTACGCACGACGGACTAAGCGAAAGAGGGACTACTCGTAGTCTAGTTGAAACTGGAATACACAGGGTTAATAAATAACTCATGTCAAACTACTGGTTACCTGGCTCAGGTTGCCACTGAGTGCAGCATAAATAGCTCTTTCATACACACTAAATTTGCTCTGATGAATAAACCAAAACCATATCATTACAAAATTGTATGACTTTTTTTTACAAAGATGGTACTGTGTCAAGAGGTTGTGTCAACAAACTGGAGTATGGAGCAACTGACCACAAACAAGGAAGAAGTGTGGCCGAGTGGTTAGGGCGCCAGACTTGAAATCCGGAGCTCACGGGTTCAAGTTCCGCTCTGACCACTTAGCTGGAATTGTTTCTCGGTAGACCCTAGTTCAACTCCTTGGTCTGCCTCCCGCTAGTTGAGATATTTAAGCCTATTATGTTTAGTTGATAAATTTGTTTATTTTATAAGTACTGAGATTTATCCACAGAGATGACAGTGATGAAAAAATCGTTCTGTTTTTAGTCNCTTTAATACATCTTTCTTTGTCTACTATCTGAGTTACTCGCTCGTTGCCGAGATTTTTTTACAAATCGTTAGTAGACGGCGCCGAAGCCGATTCAATGACAAGAGTTGCGTTAACAAACCCATTTGTAATCTGTAAAACCAATTCACTGCAGGAGAAAAAAAATAAACATGTTATTCGCCGGCTTACGGTCGGTCCGTACGGTGAAAAACTGTGACCGAGGTCTTCAAAATGCTGCCCTCGGCCTGCGGCCTCGGGCAGCATTTTCAAGACCTCGGCCACAGTTTTTCACCATACGGACCTCCCAGCCGGCAAATAACATATATTTCTTTCCGTTTAAGTGGCATGCCTGTGAACTAGCTAGTTGTAGCTAAGTGCATTGACCACTATAAACAACAACATTTGAACACGATATTTTTTTCTCAAGATTGTGAAAGTAACAAAATAAAGATGCTTTTGATATCCAACCCTAAGCTTTCCTATCTTACTCCTCCAATATGTTCATGAAGTAATTATTATGTAAAAGTAGGTGGGCTTGAAGTAGCATACATAAATATAACAATTGCAAACCGTTTGGTACCTGCATTTCTCACAAAAAACGTTCATACCCAGACTTACTTTTCTGCTCTGCGATACAAGGGGAACACCTAAAGTTCATTGTATATGGTAAAGTTCGTTCAGATGTTGGAAATTATACCTCTTGGGACATTTTCCAGCAAGCTGCTTTCCACACATCTCTGAATGGGTTTCCTTCAGTGGCTGTGAGAGTTTCATTGTTGGAAACTGGAAAAAATAAATACTAATATCTGGTCACAGAGATACCATGTGCATGTTGCCTGCTTACTAGGTATTACAGTTTCACAATTAAAGTCAAAACGTAAAATAGATACAGTACTATGAAAAACAAAAACACTCAGCTATGTTAATTATTTCGAGTTTGTGAATAGCATATTATGCAACTGGGAATCCTTATGTGATATAAGGCCAGATTGCCAGGTGCCATCATTATGATGCTAGTGGGACTTCAAACGCGATTTTTGACGAGTTAGCCGAAAGGTCTCTGATGAGCCAAGGAACGAAACATACGTATGTCAGGCTTGCCATAATAAGCCATTGTAAAATTCTTGCACTTTTTTCAAAGAAAAAGTTATTTGGAAAATTAATGAAACATTTTGAAGGTACAAAAAAAAATCTTCGTCAGTAAATGTATTCTTCATTGTCCATGTTGAAGTCCTAACACTCATTCATCTTCTTTAAAAGTAAAAGAGTTCATGTTGTCCCCTCCTAAAATATAAACCATTGGAGAAACTGAAAACGAGAAAACAGATAGGATTGTAGTAAGATAGTTTACCTCCATCCAAATTTGCATCGTGCCATAGTTTCCATCCCTCAAGAGTTGCTGCCCTCCATGACTGACCGCACTTTTCACACAAACGTTGAGCCTGAAAAGGAAGACAACATCAATAACTCAGTATGTAAATTATATATATATATAATTATAGTTCTGCAGCTCTGTCGTTATACTTCAGAACTTCATTGTTTCTTTTTTCAAATATCAAGGTTTCATTCACCTCCTCTAGTTTGCCTGCCCTGATCAAGGAAAACACATGCTTCAGCAGCCTAGCTTCATCTTCCTATAACAGAATAAAATGAGGTTTGTTGGATGATCAAATTAAATCAAATCCTATCAATATTGCTGATCAGAATTAACATCACGGTATGTGTCAACATTCCTCATCACTTTCTCTTTCCATGTTAAATAATCCTGTCTCTGACAAGGTGCATATTCATGTGTTAATATTGAAATAGAGACAACGTTTTAAATATTCCTAAGAGATCTCAAGGTGGCCTTAGACCCTTACACATCTAACGAACACTGTAACACTGGGTATGGAGTCACATCAGCGATTCCATACACACAATGTCGAAGGTATTTTAAATGTGTCTTTCAACCAGTAAAATATTAATTATAATAATTTTTCTAATTATTAAATTCTTATTAATTAATTAGTTTTGGTTAATACGGAACGTCAACCTATTGAAAACATTCATTGACATGATTTTTGGGATTAAAAAAGCTAACGGTTTCTCTTGGAGGCAGCCAAGTACTGTACAGCATTTGGTTAAAACTCTACCATACCTGATCTAAATCAGCCAAAGGTCTGTTCTGTCTCACAGGAGCATCTGGGTCCTGCAGGAATTCACAACAAGTCATTTCGCTGTGCAGTGCAGAAATCTTTAAGTTCTAATTGTTTTCAGATTGGTTTCTATATGTACATTTGGCTTTACTTTCCTCAAATTTATTAACATTTTGCCTGCCTATTTAGCAGAACGGAAATGCTATTTTTAAGTCCATTAAAAAATATCAACCTATGAATTTCAGGCCTGCCTAAATCCACTGTAATCTACTGTATATGTTAACAAATGTTTGAATTAGCGTCAAGAGACTAAGAGTGGAAATTAAGTCCGCAAAATGAATTAAAAACTTGACCCTTGAAACAGATATACACACAATAATTTTTAACCGTATAATTTTTAAAATTCTCCTACTGGTCTACAAAGCTCTCAATGGAACAGCGCCCTACTACATCAGTGAATTACTCAAGTACAACACCTCTCAACGGAAATTAAGATCGTCCTCTCAACACCTTCTGGCGACTCCGAAAGCTAGACTGAAAACATATGGAGAGAGAACATTTGCTGTGGCAGCACCGAGACTATGGAACTCGATCCCACTTGAACTAAGATCCGGTAGTTCGATTGACATTTTTAAACGGCATTTAAAAACATATCTTTTTAAACAAGCTTTTTAACTCTTTTAATTTTTAGATTATTTTTTTACTTTTTTTTCCCCTCCCCTTTTTTAGTTTTTTAAATATTTTTTTTTATTTAATGTAAAGCGCCATGGACAAATAGTGGATTGGCGTTATATAAATATTTTATTATTATTATTATTATTANATATTTAAGAAAAAGAAAACATGTACCGTGTTTCTATCGAGTTATAGAAACACGAGTGGAAGTTTGGGAGAACGAGAAATTCTGTGGGAACACGAGCCGCAGGCGAGTGTTTCCACAGCTTTTTCGAGTTCCCCCAAACTTTCACAAGTGTTTCTATAACTCGATAGAAACACGGAGAACATGTTTTCTATTTCGTTTAGAAAACACCGTGACGAAAAAAAGGAAAACAACCAATCAGCACGCATATTTTCTTAGGACTGTTTTCTAAAAATAAAAAATAGCCTCCATTTGACGTGAAAAAAATGCTTGGATATTGTCCATGGACAATACAAGAAGCGAGAAGTTTTCCAAGAGCGAGGCTTGAGGAAAACTGCGAGTTTTGACTAACAGCTGACATGACCATTGAAAAAATATCCAAGCATATATTTTTACAGTCAAATGGAGGTTATTGTGGGCTCTTTTGAAAATTGCAGAATGACACTCAGATATTCTCCAGTTTTAGCTGAGGCATATTCAGTCACGTGACATGTTTAGACCAATCACGTGCAAGCAAAAAGATTATAATCAAGAATCAAAAATTACAGAAGAAACAGTTATCAACTCACATTCTAGCCATGTTGGAGTCAAGTGGTGCTACCTAAGGGTATAAGCCTCGCTGAATAAACACTGTTTTTAAGTGTGTCTAGTCAGCATCGCATTGCTGATCTAGGGACAGCTGTCACTTACTCCAGGGTGGTACTAATTAATGTGTGGAGCTTATTCGAGGGTGACACTAACCTTTCATAGCCTATTCGTGCCTGCAGGGAATCATGCTAGTTGTATTCATCCAAAAAAATCCAGTCCAAGATGATGAATACAACTACCATGATTCCCTGCCGCTGCATCTCATAGAGGGTAGGGGCCATTTGAGGGTGGCACTTATTTGATTTACCACAGTGTTACACATGTACACAATGTGAAAAATATTCTGCCTCTGTGATATATACATCTGTTCATGCTCCCTAAATGTACAGCAATTTGTAACATTCCAGCTAGCAATTTTTGCAAATAGAGCCGTTACCATCTCTGTCACTAGAGGTCTTCTCATTCCCAGATTTCTTCCTTCTTGCTGCAGTGCATGAAGAGTGTTCTCCCTAAAAGAATACAAGTTTCTCATTAACTTTTTACATGCACCACTGCATTCCAATATACTGGGATAAACAAATGACCCAGGCTACAGAAAACACTGGAACACAACAGAAGTCTCACATGCAGAATATGATGAGAGAAAGGGAGATAGTGGAAAAGGTCACACTTGCCTTTTATATAACTGTAAATAGAAAGCAAAAACTGTATTTTCATAAATGACAATCACATAGTATTTTCCCTTTGAAAAACTCTACTATTCAACTCCACATATTTGCTAAATAATTGCTACCTATTCACAAAGCCTGACTTCATAAATAAATGATGGAAGGTGATAAATATTCTCAGCAATGCTTTAGACTTGATTTCTGTTGTATCAATACAGGAAACTTTGCAAAGAATTTTGTGAATAGATGAATTAGAACAGACACATACCAACACACTGATTCTGAGAAATACTCCACTTTATCAGTCTCCAGAAAGATTTCCAACCAATCTTCTGCATTCTTCTCTAACCAGTCAACAACAATCTACCAAGGAACACCTTCATTATCTTCTTGCAATGGTACATTTATTGTTATATGTAATATTGTTCCCCACAAACTGCATTAAACTTTTCTATAAAAGTGAAGCCTTGGAGCTGAATGGCCCATAGCTGCTGAAGCTTATCCTGGTTTCTGTAGCATGAAGCGGCTAGGAGTATTTCTACTCCCCCTGGAGGGGATGCTAGTCATCGCAGGTCACTCCCCCGCAGTTTGTTACGTTTCCCCAACAATTCGCCGGTACCCATTTATACTCCTGGGTGGAGAGAGGCGCTGTGAGAGTTAAGTGTCTTGCCCAAGAACACAACACAGTGTCCCCAGACAGGGCTTGAACCCGGACCGCTCGCTCCGGGAACAAGCGCACTAACCATGAGGCCACAGCGCCTCCACCTCCTTTCTATAAATATTGAACCAATTTTAACAGCCAACTCAATTTTTTCTCCTAATATGCAGGTAAACAAAATGTACATGCATGTTGCCCAGTTTCTGACTGGCAGAAGTATTCAACCAGTTAAACAACGGCTGGTTTGCAGTGTCACACCATCAAAAATAAAAATCGCAACCATTCAATAAATTAAGTCAAGAAGCTGAGATATGAAAGATGATTGACATATAAATAACCTCGCCAAGTTTTAAGTCTGTACGGTTTTCCATCCGCACGTTATTCGGAAAAGTGTTTCACTCAAATTTAGAGAGCTTTGTATGGTGTTGCCATGTTCATGCCCCTTGGAGGGACACAAACATGGGGGCCGTAGAGTAACAGAAACATCTGTCATTGAGTTTGCCATTGAAACAAAACGTTATTACTCTAGAGCTCCGATACATTGAAATTAATACTTGTCTAGAGTAAGAACTGTTTAGTTAGTAAAAACTTGAGCAATAACACATCTTTTGACTTACTCGACAGCCTTATTGAGCCGCCATTTTTATGTCACACAATGCATAAACTCAGAAATTCTGACGTGTTCCATTACATAATGAGGAACCCTGTCGGGCTTAGACGTTGCAAAACGTCAAGTCATTAGAGGGTCTTACATCTCATGAAACTAAAACTTCACAAGGATTGGTAATTTCTTATTTTGGAAATTGATGACGTCACATGAAAACCGGCAATTATTATTTATGTTTACATTCACCAGTATTGATTATGGGTGAGTTTCAGCTTTGGACTGAACATTTTGGGGTACTTTTAGCTAGAAGAATACTGGTTTGAAATGTTCGTGGCTGATATTTATGTTTTGCACTGAGCAAAACCCTTTATTGAACCTCCCAACAACTCGAATCAAATTAAAGCAGTTTCCCTCCCCTCACTCAAATAAATTTAATATAAGTTTACCCCCAGTTTTTCAAGCAAATTTTTGTTGCCCTTGGAGGTTCCAAAATCAGGATTCTACAGTAGTTTCAAATTTATATACTGTACAAGGAATGAAGATACTCAAAGAGGTCAAGAGGTCACAACATCAACTTTGATATATAATGACCTGGAATTGGAATAAATAATTTTTTAATAAAATGTAATGTTACATAGAAATATGAAAAAGGGAAGATACATAATATCATGTAGGATTTTAAACTGAAATATGTGGACACTGGTTAACATAATGAACACCAGATAAAAGAAAATTGAAAAACTGACAAATTATTATAAATACTGCTTTAAATTCTGCCTTTGTGATATATACATCTGTTCACGCTCCCTAAATGTACAGCAATTTGTAACATTTCAGCTAGCAATTTTTGCAAATAGAGCAGTTTTAAAGAGTATTGCTGTCTATACCTTAAAACTAATAATGTCCATGCTCTTGTGTTCATTATTTTTTTACTGACGGTGCATCTCTATGACAAGAAGTTTGATCACTAACTTGAAAACTTCACGTATGATACATGTAGATATAACATTTTGTCTCCACATACACACACACCTGGTTTTGCCTAGTAGTGGCCTCTCTTTCATACAAATTATTCGTAATCTTCTTTTCACTCCAGTTTCTTCCCTGTAAAAAAGAATACACAATGGAACAAGAGTGTTGTATTTTTACATGTCAAAGGCATCATGACCTTTTCTGTACATGCTGCAGTTATATAGTTTGACCACTTTTGCAGGTTGCAATTTAAACCAAATTCAAAGTTGTTACTGTTCTTTGATTACCTGTGAGTACTCTAGTCTAGGCAACTACTGGGTTGTACAAATTTTTCAGCTCTGGACAGGAAGCTTGACAAAACACTGTACAAAATATCATCAACAACAGTTCTACAACATTACATACATACCACGAAATTTGTAAACATGGCTTCATCATCGCTTATTCCATTCTGAAGACGATCACTACAACAACAAACATGCACAAGATAAAAACAAACCAAAAAAATCAGATTACAATATTACAATAACATGTAAGTATACAATAAAAAACAGTTGTTGGTACATTCCAACAGAAATGACCCTCTCAAAGTAGCATGATGAATTTATTAATTCAACTTTATTGAAAATAACAGTAGGCAAACATAACACATGCAGCAGACAGTACATTGCTCGTTGCTTCAATCAACCCTTCACATCTTTCTTCTCTAGATTTCAGTCCATAATGTGTTGAGAGAAGGAGCTAAATAAGAAGGCAGGCAGGCAGGAGGGAAGGAAGGAAGGAAGTAGAACTTTATTTGACTTTGGCCTGGGGGAGTGAAGGTGGACTACCAAGTCAGAAATCAGATATTCAAATCTACAATCATTGACAAAAGTACGGTCTTGAGACAAATTTGCACTTTTGGCACTTTTGCACACATGCCAGATGTGAATACCACTTCACCTGCCCAACTTATCCCCCCACCCCACATACAATGTTGACAACTAGAACCTGCAATTTCTCCTGAGTTTCAACATTGTATTGGGAGGAGAGGAGGAACAGCAATACATTCTTAAAAGGATAGCAGTGCTTTTTTCAAACTTCAGTTGTAAAACACAGATAATTCATTACATTACATAAGTGTCCCAAAGACTTTTGTCCACAATTGTAGGTGTGTACACACTGAAAAAAGAGTGGGGGGTTGATATGGGATCCTGGCAGGGTAGGGTTAGGGACAAAGGGAAGTGGATGGTGTGTGTAGTGTTCTTTTTAAGAACACCCCAAAAGGTTTCAAACACAAATATTAGCGAAAGAAATATACAACGTTTCGACATCTTAGATGTCATTGTAGAGTAAATGTGTAGCTGAAGTTTTTCCATTATAAAAGGTCTACAATTATGAGCATAAGGTGGCAAAATATGTTATGTGATAAGAAACATGTGGCTATTAGGAAATTATGTTATGCACATAGTTGTAGATCCTCTTATAATGTAAAAACTAAACTACACATTTATTTGGCAATGACATCCAACAATGTGGAAACGTCTTATATTTCTTTGGCTAATATTTGTGTTAAAAATTTTCCCTCAAGCCTTAATTTTTTTGCCCCAAAAAGTGAAAGAAAAAATGGTCTGAAAAATTTAACCTAGGTTGAAACAAATTAACTTAGGTTGATATCATTCTGACCTAGAATACATTTTTAACTAAAACATGCACATTTTACTTGCCTGTATAATGAGCCAACAAGTCTCCAAGTGTAACTTTCTTGAGAAATGAGGTATAATATATCTGCTTGTTTAGAAAATCTAGTACAATAATTAACAACAAAAAAACTGTTAATGACATTTCAACTATTTTGCAACAAACTTGTACTAATAAACTTGTTCCTGTTGAGATATGCTTGAAATTTTGAAATACCATACTGGCCTCAACATATCAGCTCTTATCCAACATCAGGAACCAAACAAAATAATATACATAAATTAATAACAATTATTTGTAAGGTCAAGGCCTTGTGCGTCCCATGGTGCAATGAGGACAGATGATTTGTAAGGTCAGTCAAGAACTGTCATGTCTACCTAGCTGGATTCATTTTGGTAGACATTTGTAAATTACAGACTAATACTGTGTGGTATACGCACACATGGAATGATGGAGATGTACATACAGGGACAACGTATACAACTATTTGAAATTAGAAGAATTCTACTTAAACACTAATGCAAATGCTGCAATCCAATTGGATGAGCCACTGCACACTATCAGCCATTAGTGTTCAGTGGCTTGGTGTGGTCAATAAAATTTCAATGTTTTCTCGTTTCTCTCAAGTTTTGAAAGAACATTTAAAAACAAAAGGATAATTAAATTCCTGAGAAGACTGAAAAAGGACATTCACGGTTTCTAGAATTAAAAAACACTCGCATTTTTTTAAAGTGGTGCTATGATCAAATTTTTGCCCCTTGATATTTTATGTGTATCACATAGAATTCCATGAAAGAATAAAAATGCCATTCACCGTTTGCAAATATCTGCATTATTTCCGGAGATATTTAAGTTTGAAAAATGTGTAAAAATATCCAAATGAGATGACTGATGACGTCATACACTCAACCCAATTTTACATCAAGTATATAAATAGAGCTATCTTGGTCACTTTGCAGCGCAGACCATTGAAACTTGGTAGGCTAATAGTTCTGCATGAAACACACCTATGGCTATAAAAATTCTGTTCCCAAGGCAACTCACTCTTTTCCAGTCCCCACCCACTTGATTTTAATACATTAGTGATTTTCAGCTCGTAAAACATTAAAAAAGGCCACAAACTTGAGCTAACATATTGATATGCTTGCTAGATCAAGCACACAAGGCACCATTTGCAAATATCAAAAATGGAACACAAAGGTGGCCAGAAATGCCCTTAATATTGGGGAGGTCTAGAACCAAGTATGTTGCCATGGAAACAAAACTGTTAAGCTCATATTTTGGAGCACATTTAGTAGAATCTTACTGCAAAGTATCAAACATTTCTGATACAAATTGGCTCAGATATCTTTTTTCCTCATATTTGATCAAAATTTGGTTGAGTGTATGATGTCATCACTGGACTAATTTGCATATTTTAAAAACTTGAATATCTCTGGAATGAAAAGAGATATTTGAATATAGTAAACAGCATTTTTCTTCTTACACAGGCTACTTGTTTATGTTTTAAAATGGCTGCGATAGGAAAGATGTGATTTTCGTCACAGTACCTCTTTAAAGAAACTAATAAGCGCGGCCTTTGGCCTCATCAACTATCACCTCTTATAAGTTGCCACTAAATTTTCTCCGATTCTTATTGCTTTAAATTGATCACGTGACGCAATAGTGTTCATCCGTGGAGAGACACTATCAGCCCATAGTGTCCGTCCGAGGAAAATACCTGGATAGATAGTACTTGTCCATGAAAATGTTTCTGTAAACATACGACCTTCTAGAAAATAAACAACTGAAATTGTATTAAGTGGGTTTTGTTCTGTTTTCTTTTTCAAATTTTACGTTTGGCTTTCACAGCTTTCATCCAAAAAATTTGAAAATAATTCAATACGGTTTTGAATTGGCACGCAGAAGAAAATTTAGTGGTGAACAATAAAGACTCCACAATAGAGTGTTTATGTCTCAGAACTATCATTCTAATAGTTGCCCCTTGGAAATTTGATGTTCTTAAAACTAGTGAGACAATCTCAGATAGTGCAGAGTGCAATTGATAGCTCATGCATGGTAGTCCCATAAGTACTCACCCCTGCTCAGTTCGCTTTCAGTTTGTGTCTACCTTGGTAGTCTGCTAGGGATTTTCCCCTTAGCAGTGTGTATGTTTCAAGGTTGCATTTTCATTCAAGGTCCAAAAATTACATACAAATTACTACTGGTGTTTTACGTTAATTTTCATTCATTTTAAATTCAATAATACGTTGAAGCAGCAAACGTGACAAGTTAGCTCTTCACGCCAACTTTATAACTTGATACGTTTGTTTTCCTCACATAGGCATGTAACATGAAACCCCTGTTTTCTCCAAAACACATGGAAGATGTGCTTGTTTTTTGGAGATAAATGAAAGAAATTTAAATATCTGATGTAGTGATGAAGAAACGGAACAGGAACAATGTTGTTTTACTAAAATGCAAATTTTCCTACTGATGAACAAGAAACAATTTCTTTTTCTGTTGCCACCTTTGTTGTTAACGATAAAACAATTCAAAATTAACACACAACAATATTGATGGCTGAGAAGCGTTTCAAAAAAAAGTATTGAAGATAAACAGCGCTACTTGGCCAATATGAATGAGTCTCCTTAAAGACTGATTAAATTAATTTGTGCTTTCATTAGGTGCCACGGAGTCTGCGTCAATATTTGAGCACTTTCCTGGTTTCTTTTGTCACAAATTTACANCGTTTCACTTTTGCAATAAAAAGGGACAATTGGCGCTACCTGAAAAATAACTGCCGTCCTTGGTCACATGACATGACATATAAAATACCATGTGGAAAGATAGTGTATAACACTAACGATACTAGAACGCATGCGTCTTACATGTTGAGTCCTACCATAAGGAAAACCAGTCAACATTTGTACGTGATTCTGTATGCAATGTATCCTCCACCTAATATAGAAGCCCCGAGCACTAAGTAATCTACGCATGAGTTTAGAGCAAATTAGTTTTGTTTTAAAGAGAATGGTACCACAAGGAGAGCAAGGGGTTACCTGAAACAAATATATAGCTTTGCAATGTTCATATCCAAGTGACGGCGATGGAACATGTTTTATGTAGAGTACACATGTACCTTTCCCACCCCACCTGTACCACTTCCTTGCCTCTAGACTAATTAATTAATTGAAATTAATTAATTAATTAAACAAACATTAAAGTTTACACCTTAGTGCCATAGCACCTTAATGACTTAATGCCTTAGTGGCAGGCAGCCCCCAAAACCATCCCAATGGTGCACTCTGCACTAACTAGCATATTTGTTTTAAGAACATCAAATTTCTGCAGGGCAACTATCAGCCGATAGTTCCTCAACAGAAACACCATGTTTAAATAGAAATCTCAAGCTCATAATCTAATAATTGTTGTTAATTAGTCTGTTAACTATTTTTACTTATTTTTTGTTAAGGTAAACCTAAAATTTGATTGCCAAGCAGGCACAGTGGCATCTGGAATCCTCTAATCTTTGTCCAAGACCACTATCTGTCAAAGTTGTAAAATCCTACTCAGTTACCAACTTCTTGCATTATGTTGTTGCACATAACATGAATGCACCTACTTGGCTTTTCCTGGTGTTGATTGTCTTATCAAACCGTTAAGAACTCGCAGTTGCTGCCTACATGCCTAAAAGAAATAGAGCATAATATATATATGCATGTATGCGTCTTCTAAAATGTTCATGTATGATCAAGTCTAAGTGGGTTGTTACATGTACAAACAGTCCGTCCAAAAGCTGAGGGTGTAGGTGTTAAGCAATTTGAGCTGTAGTGTTAGAAGACTGCTATTTCCATGAACCAGTGCATTCATTAACCAAGCTGGTTTTGTAAGACCTGTGACTGAACTGATTGACTGGTTATTTCTTAAGATTACTGTTAATCTACTGCTACTGTGAAAGTGTATATATCCACAAGTCAGGTAAATGTCTGTGTCAAGACACCAGTCACTTACCAGAGGTTTAACGCAATGAGAAAGTAAGTTTTAAACTCTCAACCTTAAAATCAGTTGTTTACAGCAGTTGGCACGTGTTACTTACAAAACATTCTGACCATACATGTATATAGTGATCTGACGGGAAAAATAGGTTGGCATTTTGGAAAAAATGGTTGCTTACACGGATGGTTGCTTATGAGAGATGGTCACACCGTAAGGTTCTACTGCATAAGTTAAGGAAAGTGCACTTGAGAATTAACTTGCTGCAGTTAGTCTTGTCAGCATGAAATATGGATAGATTTTTTCCAAAACACACTGACCTTACTCAGTCAACCCATCAAGCTATTACCTTTTCATATCTGGCTAACACATCAAAAATATGCCTTGTGTCAGGAAAGGATGTAAAGGCACTCATAAATTCTTCAAACAAGCTGGAACTGGCTGTAGATTAAACAAACCAATTATTTTTACTGAATATGAAATACAATACCTGCATCATATACATGTATTATTACATATTAATTACCAAATTCCACCAATAAGTCTTATATTACTTAGCATCACAGAAAACTACCCACACTTACATGTACCCGCGGAATTCCAGCATGTTTTGGAGCATCTCTTGTGTCACAGCTAATCATATACAGTGCTCAATGGTCTGTTATTCAACACTTTGAATTTTGGTGACCTCCATTTTTAAAATAGTCATCCAAGAAAAACTTTGCAGGCCACTTTTATCAAAGTATTTGAAGAGGAACACCTCATCTCAAACTGCATGAAAGTTATACCTACATGTACTGTATGCGGCTGACCATCATAAACCAGATTAAAATTGAGTTTCGTATGCATTTGTCTCCCATGTACCATTACATTTAATACAATGCTGTTGAAATACAAATAAACCAAAATCTAAACACTCCACTGACCTGCAATCACAGGATCCTTTTCTGTCAAAATACTGACATTTTCAGTTAATTGAGATAACTCCACAACACTTCCAGGTACTAAATCCTATATTCAAATTCAGAAAAGTGCATCAGTGAGTGGCAAAGAGTACAATACACTTATAGCAACAACAAATCATAATGGTCAATCAACACCAAGCCTAAATACAATGTTATTTGACATGCATGCAGACCTGAATAATACCCAATGAATGTGAATTTCTCAACTACTGACAACATAATTATCAAGACCATTGTCACACTCCTTGACTGGAACCACTTCATGTGTTACCCAGGTGTCCTGTACATTGAACAACAGTTTGGTACTAAAAGAAACAAAGCTGATGGAAGTTACCTCAACAGCAGGAGCAAGTGGTTTACTGGGTGTTAAAGGTTGGCTTAATCCACTGTCTTCCATAAATGATAGTGAACCCTGCAGGGAAACAGGTGCAAAAAAAAATTAATCTTAGCTCTTCAGGAATCTAAATCAACTTAATTCAAAAGCCTCAGATTTACCAGAGTGGTGTAGCCAGATATTGGTGGTGGTCGAGATGATAATGGTCCATGAGGGATTCCCTCACTAGCAAAGGAAATGTCCTACATGTAGATACAAAAATGGAGAAAATGTAGTGCCAGTAGTGCTGAGAATCACTGAAACACAGAACTTGCATGACTTTGGTACAATTGTAGAGTCACAGTGAAGAGAAGGCCTGCCTGCCCGCTACATGTATGTTGAGTAAAAATCCAGGCTCTTATAACTGGACATTCTGTTTACCTGAGTAGTAAGATCAGTGTCTGCAACTGAGGAAGTACCACTTGGAGTGTCTACATTTCAAAACAGTAAATAAACGTTTCTCAGTTGTGGTTTTACATCATTAGTAAATTCACATCACACAGCTTTATGCTCAAATTTCCAAAGGTAAAAGATTGCAGTGTGTTAATGATGATAAATGTTACAGTGTAACAGCAAAGTTTTGGGGAGGAAAAAATTAATGTTTGAAGTATGGTTTGTGACTGACCTAGACAAACTAATTTTTTTGTTTCCTTGAAGTTTTATATCACACCTAATAATTGCTGCATAATCAAATCAAAGTGAATGGTTTAAACAGCAATAAGCTACAATGGCAAAAAAGCCCTAGAAAAAGATACACAACAATGTGCCACATAAATAGGGAAGCCACTTTCAACCACAAAAATAATATTTCTTAATGCTGAACCAATCACTGAAAAAATCACCTTACATAGTGCTGGAAATTAATTATTGAATTTGCATATTAAGCAAAATAGTTAATAATCGGATGACCCAATCAGTATGTATGCTAAGCAATGCATTGTGGCACAATTTTTTAAACCAGGTGGTTTTCTTAATGTTTTATGCAAGTCTGGAGAAGCTATTTCTGTGCCTTTCCATAACACATCAACTCTGAAGTTCATAACCAAGAAAGGATTGTGTCTTTAGCTGCCATCAATCATAATAAAATGATACATGTAACAACCAACCCATGAACCTTAAAATACAGAATTTGAATAAAACAAAATGGATCGCTCTTTTCCAATCAAAGCCCACAGACATGACCTTTTGAACTTGTTGAAGTAAACTTCTGTTTCTAAGAGGTGTGCTAAGATGATTAAAGGTGGCAAAACATCAAACCAGTGATTGAACAGACTTTGCATATTATTGAAAGGCACAGTAAAGCAAAAGAAACAACAGATCCATGTTCTTTTCACCAACATAAATTTTAAAACAATTTTTAACTAAAAGACATCTATCAGTGAGAAGAAAAGCTACACAAAAATGGTCTCATAATCGAAACTCTAATGTAACATTGCTAATACTTCACATGCAAAAATACAAAGAAATTATATATGTAACATTCCAATGAAAACTAAACGACCCTTTAGTCTTGTTGTGTAGGCTTGATGTTTTCATCAGACAATGTTTACCGAAATAGCTGTACAATATACATGTACAATTACATTATACATACATGCACTGTGCCTGAGTCGTGAGGTTGAAGTTGCCTGTTGTCGAAGTGGAGTTGGAGTGTTAGCTGTTCTCAAAAGAGAAGATGCTGTATGCAGTGGTTGCCGTGGAGTGGCAATGGCCTCATCTAACAGATGAAGTGCTGATGTCATAGTCAAGAAATGTTACATGTACATTTCATATACTTTGTTACATGTAAGTGCAAAGTCAGTGGTAGTCTGTCACAATATTTTTTGCATCTACCAGTCAATACCTGTAGCTATAATCAAACTTCTATTCAGCAGCCAACTGTTCATCAGCCACCCCCTGTTAAGCAACTAGTTAACTAAGTCCCAAAATTGTTCTCAGTAAAATACTCTAAACAAAACTCCTATTAAGTGGCTACAGCCACCTTTAAGACATCCTGATGAGGGTTTTCTATTGTGCTCTCACCTATTAATTGACATCCAAAATTGAATACACACATTTTAGCTTTGTTTTGGAGCAGCTGGTGACAGATAAGAGTCCAAAATGGAAAGTGACCAGTGACAAAAATATTCAAAAACACATTTTATTATTGATTGCCTTCATAGGATTCCACATCACCTTTAAGCCTGTTTGCATTTCAATGAACCATGATGTTTCTACCAAGCCTCCGGCTAATTTCTATCTAACCCTAATTAAGCAGATACCTCCCATTTCCCCAAGGGAGGCCGCTTAATATTATAACATTATATTTGGCTACATGAATCTGAAAGAAAACAGTAACTGTGTACTAGATGTATACAATAAGTATACTCTATGTTCAAATACTGTGAAGTTCTAGAAGTGCCAAAATGTGTAACGCAGAGAAGAAGAGAGCAGAAAGGAACAAATCATAGTGAAAAACATTGTTATACTGACAGAGTAACTGTTATGACACAGAATTCTTCCTAATAATGGACTTTTTTCAAATTTTTACTGCAGTAAGATAATGAGTTACTTTATGTCAGAAATTACTAACAGAATTAGAATTACATGTAATTTCCTCTTATACTGTTTTGGAGATTAAGCCTCTTGAAAAATACCCTGAGGTTCAAAAATTGCTGCATGTACGTCTGCAAGGTTTCCCATTTTTTAGTTAAAATATTGAAGATGAGTCAACAGAGGCAAACTATGTTAGTCATGCAATGTATGAAGACATGATTGATCATCAGTTACGGACACAACTTAGGAGTTGTAAAATTATTAAATTTTCCAATTTTTCTAATTTTGTCTTGTTTTAATTTTTTTTTCAGGCTTGAAGGGGATTCGAAACCATGACCTCTACAATACCAGTGCAGTGCTCTACCAACTGAGCTATCAAGCCAACTGGGAGCTGGTCATGTTGTGAGTTTGTAGTATACCAGTAGATGGCGAAGATACAAGTGAATTAGGTTAGTTTAGCTTAGTTTAGTTTAGTTTTAGTTTAGTTTTAGTTTTAGTTTTAGTTTTAGTTTAGTTTAGTTTAGTTTAGTTTAGTTTAGTTTAGTTTAGTTTAGTTTAGTTTAGTTTAGTTTAGTTTAGTTTAGTTTAGTTTAGTTTAGTTT